AGACAACGTGGCTTTGTGTCAGGCCGAGGTAACGCCAGCTTTAACGAAGAGACTTCGTGTTAACCTGATCACGAGTCGCGCTCAGCCGCACAATAAAGGTTCAAGAGATCACAGGGAGGTGAAGCATTCTGTTTTTATGAAAAGTGATACAGCGATCGGGCCTCCCTTTCTGAGAGCTCACCGTGCCAGACGTGGTCCTGCGCTCAGACGAAGGAGGTCTGTTTGCAGCCCGGCTTCACGGTTCTCCCATAGCAAGGATTTTTGAAATGTCAGCAGCCATGCAACATTTATGCTCAATCATAAATGAAACCCGTCACACAACAGCAACTGACACTAAATAATTCAGCCTTTGTCTCGTTATGATTCCTCTGAAAAGCGAAGGCATTCAAGAGGGCAGGGTTATTGATCCGCGCTTGACTCGGTGGGTGCTCCTCTGAACACCCGAGACCTTGTTCTCATTTAGACTTAAGCGGATCAGATCTCCCCGGAGGCCAAGGACTTACACCTAGCAGGTGTCAGCCGCTGACTATCTCACATCTGTGGACAAGTTTTCATGTCATGACAACACATAGGAGTGTGTTTTGAAGGGGCCCTCGGCTTTTTCCCTGCAAAGTGTCAGGCTACATCTTGTGACTGGAGCAGGCAGGCTCCTGGATTGTACACAGTGACACCGCGAGTCCCTGGAGACGGCACTCAGTTACCTTCAGTCTGTTTAAAAAGCATGTTGACATTTTGTTGTAGAAGTCACAAGACGTGATCCAAATGTAAACACTCATCCCAGCGTCAAAATGAAAAGACAAATAACAAACGCAGTGTCTGGATTCACCCAGGCTGAAGATTCACAGCCGGCAGGATTATTTTGATACTTCACATTGTTCCTTTAGGGTCAGCACCACACGTTCTTCACTACTAAAGATACAAAAAGCAATTCTCACTTAAATGTGTTGTCTTTTTTTTTTTTATTCGTAGGTGACCCAGGAGATTTCTGATCCAAGCAGAGTCTTCCGTCTCCTCGGATCTGACAGGTTGGTACAGAGATATTTTTTTATCTACGTCAGTGATCAGGTTCAATGGATGGAGGAGAACCTTCCACCTGAATCTTATATCTTATATCTTATATCATCAGCCCGATTATTTCCACGAACCCACACACTAACGTGGCCGTCCTCCCTCAGGTCTTGTTGTTTTTCCTATTACCTGGAAACCAACAAACAACCTCCTGCTGCTGAGACATCTCTCGCTGTGCTTGTGTCCCACTGACATGTTTTTATCTCCTGTTCATCTTGCATAAAGCTAATCATCTCATCCTATTTGTGTCCCTGCATTTTACTCTCTGATCGTTGTGACCCACTGTCGCCGCGTGCCCCCATGACGTCCTCCAACACCCTCTCACTCCTGCTGTGTTCCACGCGTGTCCCTGTAGATCTGTCTGCAGGGACATGAGGGTCACAGTCAAAACCAAATGATAATTCTTTTCATAATAAATTAATCTATTTCTTTTCTGATCCTGTGACTTTTATAGATTGATCAATACGCCTTTGATTTATCAAACAAGTTTAGTTAACCATTAAATAATTAACTAAAAATGTGTTTTAGATCATCCATCTAAAATCTCCAAAACCTAAATATATAACATTTTCAATTATATAAAACAGGAACAGTGAGTCTTCGCATTTAAAAAAACTGGAACCAAATGTTTGTTTGAAAAAGTGACAAACTATTAATGGACTCTGAACACGTCGGCTTCATCACTGACAGCAACTCTTCTGCTTATCGATGAATCATGTCAGCTGACACAGTGAGTGTGATTTAACACACGCTCGTACAGAGCATGCTCAGTTCAGTTCCTCTCCCGCCAGTCAGATGCTGACTCCTGATGGAGCGAGGCCTCTCTCTGCCCAGCCCTCCCCTCCCCTCCCCCTCCCATGATTTATTCACTGCTGCCCAGGCACTGCCAGTCTGGTGTGAGTGTCCCTCCGTGCCTCTGTAATTTCATCTGATGGAACAGACAGTAGGGACTGTAGCTTCCCTGCTCACCTGTCACCGCCACGAGATCGATGCCATCTGAAGACGTAGCTGCCGCCGCTGTCATCCGGCCGTCGCTGAACGTGCCGTTTAACCAGTAACCGTGCCGCCCTCCGAGCAAACTGATCCCATTAACACGATGCTGCCTGAAAAGCTCAAGTTCAATCATAGCAACTTTCCTTTAACCCACCCAAACTGTCTTCAATACAAACCAGTGGCTGCCTGTTGGTAGAACAAATGATTCAAGCATCTAAATAACTCCGACGTGGTTTTGAAAACCGTTAGATCAACGTCACGCCAGTCTGCGAGCCACGAGAGGATTAGCCTAGCTTAGCTTAGCATAACGACTGAAATCAGAGGGAAAGTGCTTCTTAAATTAACATGTTATTTATGTGTCTGTTGTGATCGGTCAAAAGTTTTCAGAGCATGTAGGAGATGTAGGCCTCTGATCTCGCTTTGCCTGGTTTTGTTCGAGGACGTGTCAAGCTAGCCGGCGTGCGTTATGCAAATGTGGGGCAGTGTGACGTCACGATTCCTAGAAAGTATCGGACTGACAATGTTTCTCAGGAGCTTCAGTTTTTTTTCTTTTAACTTAGAATTTCAGCTTTTTAACTTTTACATTCACAAAAAAACACACGTCTCCTTTTACGGAGATTCCTTCAGTTTTCTTCAGATTACCACGACCCCTCCGTCTGACCCTCTAACTCTGCTCCTGGTGTGTGCTTTGCAGGGTGGTGGTCCTGGAGAGCCGACCCACAGACAACCCCACGGCCCTGAGCAACCTCTACATTTTAGCAGGTCATGAGAACAGTTACTGATCGGCCGCCTCGGACTGGACAGGTCTTAGAGGAGAGTAAGACATCCTCAGTTTTGGGAGAAAAGAAGTCGCTGGGATCTTTTGTTACTGATGGTGGGAACTTCAGGTCAGTAAAAGCGGGCGGAGTCTTCAGACTGGACTCATGTGCAGCCTTACACCAGCAAATGTAGCTCCGACGAGAAAACTGTTATGAATACAAAATCATTGTTGTTATCCTTACTCATCTGTACTGTGGACTGACTGGTTGCCTAGAGGTTTCAATGAGAAAAAAGTGCCATGATAAAATTCACAAGGATTTTGTGATTGTATTAAACGATGGGAGATTCTTTGTGTTGATGTCTGTAACATGTCACATGATCACTGCCGGTGGCGTTTCGCCGCCGTCAGGCTTGAAAAGAGATTTTTTTTTTTGCAACTTTGTAGTCAAACTAATTGAGCAGTTTAAACAGAAACTCATGAGCCATGTGGGTTATTTAAGCAATATTTATTAACCTCATGTTCAGTGATGTGTTGGATTTACAGACAGCAACAGCGGCCCCGCTGTGTGAGGATTAACTACCTAGTTCCCGAGCAGCTTCTGGTTATTTTCTACCGCTATGTAATAAAGCCGCATCTCTCCTGCTCTGCTGCATTTTTAGAAATTGGACATAATGTACATGTTTTGTTTTTTCCTTTACCCTTCTCTCTTTTATAGAACTTTTAATTCTCATTATTTGCACCATGTAAGCACTTTTGTACATTTTTTTTAATTTAAAATAAAAATGACAAAATGAGGGACGATGCTAGGTTTTGTTAACATCTGTCCATTCCCTTTGCGAGCTGTTAAATGTATGCTGTTTTTGTAATAAAAAAAACGCTGTCGTTAACAAGAATACATGAATGGACGCTTTATTTATTTACTTGTGTTTGTGAGTTGACGATGACGATGCTGCGAGTCACTGATGATGAGTCTCTAATGAGGAAAAAGGGGGAGACAAGTGAGTTATTAGTTTATTTCCCTCTTTAGTCTGTCATTCCTGCAGCTTCACCTGGCTGCACTAATTGCTTCCCCTGCGACAGGAGGATACGTCACAGTTAGATCCTCCAGTTTGTGGAACAGACAGATGCGTGTGATGGTTTCCGGTGTTTTGAAAACCACAAAAACATGAGCGTGGACGTTTTGATGTGTCAGAAATAAAACCTGTTCAGCAGAATCACAAACTAATTCACCCTTAACTCAAACTGTGTTCAGACGTGTGAGGATTTCCCTGAATTCTCCTGTGGGAATAGAGCTGTTTACTCTGGCTGCAGGAGGATGTGGTTTATTTTGAAAAACACCTTTCAAACTCTCACTCCATCAGATGTGCACATCTACAAATCCATAAAAAGCCCAAATGATCCTGAGAGAGAAATATTTGAAGTTGAACAGAAACAAAGAGTCAGTGGATAGAAGAGGAAGACAGATGATGTCACCTTCAGAATAAAGTACAATCAGAAAGTCTTCAAGTGAAAATCACCTGATTGAACAAAAAACGTCATTAAGAGTCATAATGCTGTTTTTCTTGGCTTCTACTCATTCCGTCTCTGACTCTGCATATATTGTCTACCTCTATTATTCTATGTCACTGTATAATATTTAATAGTATTTCATTGTTAATCACCTCATTATCAGTTGTCATCAATAAGAAGTTAAACAAGTCGTCATCAATTAGACAATTTGACGACTTTTATTAAGATTGGAAAATATATTAATTAAAAAGAGTTAAACAAATAAATACTAAAATTGTAAATGTATGAAGAGAGATCAAAGATATATAAACATGTTTACACCTCAATTCACGGAGATTCAGTCAATAAATATTTACTATGATGTACAGACATGAATCAGGGTTTCTGAACTCTGCTGCAATAAATTAATATATTTATTTCGATTAATTCACTGGATTGTAAAAAATAATTATCAGTAAACTGCCGAGGATATAATATATTTTCACATAAATAACATTAAATGGGTCAGTTGTTAATTAAGAATGACTAAAACAATGAGAAAACATCAAGGCTCAGAGAATAAAGTGCTGCTGGCTGGGTGAGTTTTATTGTGAAGGCTGCGGCCGGATGTGAGGTGGTGGTGCATCTTTAAAGCAGCAGAGTTGAAACAGCTGAAACAGAAGAGCTGAGGTCCTCCAGCAGGAAGGTCTGTGTCTGCAGGAGGAGAAGAAGAAGAAGAAGCAGAGAGAACTCCTCCTCTTTCTGTCACCTGTGGAATCACCTGCGGACACAAAGTAAGTTCACACATTTCACATCAGCTGATTCAAGTCTGGAGGTTTGTTTCTGAAGAGTATTGTGTCATCAGCTGTTTCATTGGGAAACTTGAGTCAGAGTTTACATGAAACACTTTTCATGATGTTCATGTTTCATGATATTTAAATCTGTGGATTTAATCCTGAGTGTTCTGACTGTAACAGTTTGTCAGTGCAGATCTCTGATTTCATCCTCTGTGTTACTCTCTCTCTCTCTCTCTCTCTCTCTCTCTCTCTCTCTCTCCTCTGGGAAATCACCAGTAGACTTTGCATTGCAAATGTTTTTCCTTACGTAATGTGACTGTAGGCAGGCTGGTGTAATGTTGCAATTAAATCTGTCTTCTGGTAAAAGAGGTCAAATTTGCATTTAGTCCCTAACGCATGAAACTCGACTGAGCTCGGTTCTTAAAATTCATTTTGAAGCAGTAGAACGTGTATTTGTAGAGAGAAACAGTCAGGGATTCAAAGTGTTTGAGAAATAATGAAATGTTAAAGCAACAATATTATATAAAGAATTTAAAATGACTTTAATGGGAGTTACAGAGTCAAATAAAAACTAACAGTGCTGCGAAAGAAATTAATCATTATTTGATTTATTAACAGCAAAGTCTTGGTCAGTGGATATGGAGTCACTCTCTGAAATCCACCAAAGATCTTGAATTGTTTTCTTCTTAAAAACAGATTAAAAACACACACAAGCTTGTTTTTAGCATGTGGTCAAAGAACACCGTCCATTTTTATTAACTATATTATTATTATTAATTTCTGCTTTTTAATCTTGAAGCACATTGATGACAAAATGTGTCGCATAGAAATAAACTTTCAAAGAACTGACGAGATCAGAACTCTTTAATTTACCTCTCTGTGTTTCCAGAGAATTAAACATGATGAAACTCACAACTGTCAAAATATCTGAAGTAATAACATGAACAGCTGAATCTGAATCAGTTTATAAAAGCCTCACTGTTATTTCTCTGAGATCAAAGCCTCATTTTATCCTTAATGTGAATCATAATATGAATTCTGACCATAACTGTGTGAACTTAAAGCAGCAGGTGGAGAATCCTCCCTCAGTTTTCTCGCCTCCCTGGACTCAAGTGTTTATTTTCTCTTCGACCTGAGGATGGAGAAGTACGAGAAGATCGGAAAGATCGGAGAAGGCTCCTACGGCGTCGTCTTCAAGTGCAGAAACAAAGACACGGGGCAGATCGTCGCCATCAAGAAGTTCGTGGAGTCGGAGGACGATCCCATCATCAGAAAGATCGCACTGAGGGAGATCAGGATGCTCAAGGTGACAACACACACACGAGGTCACGTTCAAGCCAAATGGGTTTTTGAGTCTGTCTGACTTCAAATTAAGAAAACAATCCTGAGAATCAGAATTCTGAGATAGTTCATCAAATTAAGGTTTCATTTCATTTCAAGAACATTTTTAAATCTAAATTTTGAGCTAATTCTTCCTTCTTAAGTGAAACCAAACTTAAATTTTGACTTTCAAAGAGCTTTTTTTTTTTTTTGATGACGAACTTTTCCCAAACCACACATGAAGTCTCCTCCTGGGCTCCACACACGTCTCTTTTTAAACTCAAAATTCATGCAAACAACGACAAAGACACAAAGATTCGCTCTCCTCTGTGTTGTGCGGAGCAGCAGGAGGGGCGATGTGCAGTTAATTGTGCAGAGGGGAAACATTCTTGTGGCTGCAGCACAGAAGACGTCTGGTTTAAAAGCGGTTTGCTGTTATCAGACGGTGGAGAAGCTCTGCAGCGACTCGAAGTGTCTCCATTAAAACATGAAACCTCCGGAGGTTGATAACAGAAAAGTAGAAATTCTGCAACTTTTAACAACTCAAGAAGCTTCGACCTGTTTTGTTTATGTCTGTTAATCGATCTAAATCTCTCTGAGTGTGTGTCTCAGTGTTTCCCACCAGACGTGGACATCGACAGCTGAGTTAAATATTAATGTTATTCTGTCTCTTTCATATGTTCCATGTTCTGAGATGTTCTGGTACAGTGGTCGGAGGTTTAATTAGTCATGCTGTGGGTGGGAGTGTTAGCGGCCTGCTGGACTCCAGCGGCTCATAAATACGACAGGATGGGGACGGGTTGTCAGGGGCAACAGCATGTTTATTACCATCTGGAAACAGTTCAGTCTGTTTGATAAGAGCAAACCGCAGATCGTCCTCCAGACCACCGACTGGACTGGTTTCCTAAAATCACTTTAACTGGTTTTGTGTGTGTTGTTGCCTTTTCCTGATAATGTGCGGAACTCATGTCTCTTTCTGCCTCGTGTGTGTGTGTGTGTGTGTGTGTGTGTGTGTGTGTGTGTGTGTGTGCGTGTGCGTGCGTGTGTAGCAACTGAAACACGCCAACCTGGTCAACCTGATCGAGGTTTTTCGTCGTAAGCGGAAGCTTCACCTGGTTTTCGAGTACTGCGATCACACGGTCCTCAACGAGCTCGACCGCCATCCCAGAGGGTGAGAGACTCTGTTTACCTCCATGACAGCAAAGACATACGTCCACTTAGTTTGTTTTGATAAACTGTAATCATCTTTAAAAAAATGTTTTCAGGCTCCATTGCAGCACAAGTAAAAACTAGAATATCAGCTGCACCTCCGTGGTAGTTAGAAGTTTCTAGTTCTATTTGTTAGCGGCTCGATTAATCCAACAATCTATGAAACTACATTTAAGTTTCACTAGATGTGGATTTTTTTTTCGGGACGTGAACCAAACTGCACAAACACATAAATATCCGAATGAATGATTCTCTTAGAAAATCAACAAACACTAAATCCTGGATCAGCCCCTTTGTCCGGAGTGTGTTTCTGTCATCATGCTGACAAACAAACAAACTGGAAACATTACCTCCTCGGTGCAAGTACTAATAATATAAATGTACGTAATACTATAAAATGTGTGTTTTTCAGAATAAATGTAAGATAACAAAATAAGAATACGCAGTACAAAGACATGAGAAGATTAAATATGTACTAATGATACAAATGCAGATTTGAACAGATTACAGGTCCGATCTCGACGTTGCAGCGGTTGTGTGATAAAAAGAGTCGGAGCACACACTCACAGCTGCCGAGTGAACTGTTCCACTGAGATACTGACCGGTATAAATCTGACTTTGGTTGCGTTTCATTTAACAAAGTCCTGTGTACTTTCTATTACTGCTACACTACATATACACCACACAGTGCACTGGGCTTTGTGCGACTCTGATGGGCTCAGTGTCGGTCTCCTGGGAGGCTGACCCGTCCACTGTGGAATGTTTACAGTGATGCTCTCCCAGAATGCTTTGCTGTCGAGGGGATGTCTTGCTCGGCCACATTTTATACGGAGTGTTTTCGCTGTCTGGTCCCCCCCCCCCCCCTCTGGCCTGCAGCCCTCTGGACGCAGACGGAGGAGAAAACAAAGTGCGGAGAAGGGGCGGAGATTGTTATTAATTGCCAGTCACAGGGCTCGATTTAGCCATTTCCACGGAAACACTGATGGACGATTGGTCCCTGGAAGCAACAAAGCCTCAGTGTTGAGCATCGGGCCTCACGATGGGAGCGGCCGGGCCGCTCACTGGCTCCTGACGCTGTCCAGAGGGACGAGACGTGTCTGAGGAACTAAACTGGAGTCACAGAGACTCTCCCTTCATCCAGGAACAAAGTTACACATCCATCTTTTCTTTTATTCGATTCTTCTCCCTCGTTCTCCTCTAACACACAAACCGATCCTGGTTGAAGTCATGCTGGCAACATTCAGCGTCCCCAGAGGATCAATCTCACTGGTTTATGTGCTTTATTGATCCCTGACCTCTGCTACAGCGCCACCGTGAGGTCGACATTAAATCTGTTGCAGATGTTCAAGTCAGGATTAATTATAAAACTTCATCATCTATGTGCAAAGCTGCTAACATCACTGTCGTCTTCTCACCAAATGTTTTGATTCCTTTTTTAAAACTTTAACTTTATTCAAACACATTTAAAAGAGTCTTAGAGATTTATCATCAGGTTAGATATGAAATATTATTTATTATTCTTAAAATGACAATCACTTGAAGTTGTCTCCACCAAGACGGTTGTTTTCTTCAGTGCTTGTTTGTTTGTTTGTGCGTTAATCAGCAGGACTGAAGGATGACGTATGGGTCAGAATGGAACCCATTAGATTTTGGTGCACATCTGGATCTTTAACGAGATTTTCAACGTTTTCATTGATTTCTCAGAAAATAACTAATTGATTGTGATTGGGAAAAAAAATTGGACTTGATTAGGGGACTGTATCTAGTGAACTCAAATGTAGGTTGAATGGTCGAAGCAGATAATGAGTTTACTCAGGAAGATATAACGTTAATTGAAATAATATCAGTAAGTGAGCTTCTTGTCAAACTAATATTTCCAGTGTCGTCATTATCTGTCCCTCAGACGAAGGTTTTTAAAGGACCTAACGTGTAGTCTTGTGTTTTGCAGAGTTCCCGAGCACCTTGTGAAGAGCATCACCTGGCAGACGCTTCAGGCTGTAAACTTCTGCCACAAACAAAATGTAAGTGATCGACTCTGTGAAGGATTCGGTGGATTTTTCTCCTCAGCTTGTTTTTGAAATTCCTCAGGTCTCCTCCCTCCTCCAGCTCCCACCAGGCCCTCTGCTTTATGGCTCCTCTTCCTCCTCTTCTTCTTTTCTTCAACAAGAATTCCTTCCCCCTGGCTGACCGACAGTTAATGCATCACCTAGACACAACAAACCCCCCCGTTTAACTGGACCCCCCCCCCCCTTCTCTTTCACACAGGCCCTTTATCCTCAACGTCTCCAGACAACAACTGTGAACATGTTTAAATTCACACAGTGATGTTTGTGTGTCTGCAGTGCATCCACAGAGACGTGAAACCCGAGAACATCCTCATCACCAAACATCAGGTCATCAAACTCTGTGACTTTGGCTTTGCCAGGATTCTCAGTAAGACTTTCAGACTTTATGGACTTGACAGTGACACCTAGTGGACGTGTCTGTGTTAGCATTTCAAAGGTCCAGTCGTTTATTAAAGTAGGTTTCAGTAATAGTGATAAAACATTTCATTAATTAACTGAACTGTGCAATGAAAACAAGCAAATTCAATTTAAATAAATAGACTCAATTAAATTGAATTGGCAATAAAAAGAGGAATTAATAAACCATTTGCAAATTAAATATTAATCAATGAGTATATTGTTAATTTTAAAGAGAGGTTGAATAAAACACACAAAACATGGAGAAAGAATCCAAATATTTATTCTTCACCAAGTTGTGGTTTTATTCTGCAAGAAGACGTTTAAAAAATAAATGTCTTTATTTGGCTTTTCTGTATGGATTTGTTTCACATGGTACATCTATGTGTGTGTGTGTGTGTGTGTGTGTGTCATCAGCTGGTCCATGTGACTACTACACAGACTACGTGGCGACTCGTTGGTATCGGGCCCCTGAGCTGCTGGTGGGGGACACTCAGTACGGGGCCCCCGTGGACGTGTGGGCGATCGGCTGCGTGTTCGCCGAGCTGATGTCGGGGATCCCTCTGTGGCCTGGGAAGTCCGACATGGACCAACTGTACCTGATCAGAAAGACGCTCGGTGAGATTGTTTTTTTATAACTTCTCCTTATTGTGATGAACTGATGATGTGAAGCTGTACGACTCTATGTACAGAATTACCTCTGCAACAAATGAGCTAACGTGATTTATGTGTATATGTGACGTTCCTCCGTCTTGGTCTCTGCAGGAGATCTGATCCCTCGACATCAGCAGGTTTTCAGCAACAACCAGTTCTTCAGCGGAGTTTCAATCCCAGAGCCACAAGAGATGGTGAGGTGGTTTTGCCGGTTTAGCTCAGCATGAAAAAGATAAAAGATGTCAATTCAAAATAAGAAATACAGGAGAATGTGAAATGTGCCTTATCGAACAGAAGCTTTATTTTCTGTTTGCGTAGGAACCTTTGGAGCAGAAATATCCGAACCTCTCGCATCAAGCTCTGAGTCTCATGAAGGTGAAGATGTTACCATCAGAAAAATACAAATCAAATGTATTTTTAAAATAAAACGCAGAAGCTACACATGATTTGGATTTGAATCTTGATAAATGTGCATATTTTACTACGTCTCTTGTGAAAGAGCTGTGTTCTCAAATCATCCCGAGTAAATTCAGCTGATCGTCAAAGAAAAACTAGCTCTCGCTCTCTGTCCCCCGTCCGCCGCCGATGGTTCAGGGTTGTCTGAGGATGGACCCGTCCGAGCGTCTGACCTGTGAGCAGCTCCTCCTGCATCCGTACTTCGACAACCTGCGAGGAAAAAGCCAGATCTCGTCTCGTGAGCAGGATCGTTCCAGCAACAAGAGGACGCGCTTCCCTCGCAAACAGCTTCCCCCCGGGGTGAGCGGCCTCATGTTGTGAAAGAAACTTCAAACTTAAATGAAACTTTTCTGTGGTTTTATAGGTTTTACATTCAGACATTCAATGAGGGAAATACCGCTCCACTTTATTGATGCATTATGTTTTGAAACACTGGAATAGAATCAAATGCTTCTCGATATATTTTTCTGTATTTAAAACATCTGTAGTCTGTAAATGAAGATGGACGATGTGTCGTCACTTCCTCCCGTTGTCCAAAAATGAAGCCAAAATATCCCAGATAAGGGAGCGGCCATCTTGCATTATCACTATCAAGATCCCACTGAGACAAACCAAGTCAGTCTCAGCTGTCAATCACGACGCTTCACTGTTTTAATAACTCAAAATAACAAATTAAAACTTATTAGAAAGACGAATGTTTGAAGAAACATCAGTGTGATGAGAAAATGATAGACACCATCTTTGAGAAAAATGTAGCTGACGTGTTTTTTTTTAGTTTGGTCCATGTCCCATCCACTAACATGGAGGATGCAGGGTTTGTGACCTATACTGCAGCCAGCCACCAGGGGGTGATTGAGATATTTTGGCTTCACTTTTGTGGATCTTTCATATCAATTATCTTTATGTACAGACTATAACTTGAAATGAGTGTCACCCATTATAATTATTATTATGTAGAATTAACTAAACCCCTGGAAACTGGTTGTAAAGCAAAGTTTGGTGATGTATACTTTCACATTTCATGACCAGAGGGAAAAGTCCAGGTTTTTTGATTTTGTTGAAATAATTTGTCTTCAAAAATGTTTTCTTCTCCGTCCAGTATTTGCCGCAGCTGACCGGCAGCAGCATCTTCCCAGCGCTGGACAACAAGAAGTACTACAACAACCTGCGCAGGTTCAACTATCACCTCCCCAACATCTAAACACACTGATCCTGATCTGAATTCAAATCCTGACCATCGATCATCTGTTTTCTAAAAAAACACTCAGGGGGTGAAGCGACACGGTTTCGAGAGGATTCCACCACTTTTTAAAAAGTTTGTTTTCCACATGAGGTGATCAGTCTATGCACTATTCCCAGCGTGTTGAGTCGGAAATGCTGGTTTATGTACGTTGCCTACATTTCAAATCGATTTGTAATTTGTGTAGATGTGTAAAGACGAGGAGCGACGTGCCGCTCTGCTTGTAGTCGCTGAGTAGACTGAAGGTAAAACTACGACGTACTGCCTTGCCTGGTTTGCCAAATGTATTTTTTATAAAATGATGGACTATGTAACAAGAGTGACATGTTTTTGCTAGTTGAGTTTTACGTTGTCTTGAATAAGTTAAATAATGTAGGACTCAGACTTTTTTTGGTCACGACTAATGAGCATTTCTGTAAATATTTATTGACATCATGAGTGAATACAGTTTTAAACATTCCCTCAACTCACCCTCGCTGTCATTCAGCAGTAACAACACCACATTGTACTCGTTATCTCTGGAGCTTTGGTGCTAAGGATGCCTTCAGACATCCGTCCCGCCTCAGATATTGTACAAATGCCAAATTAATCTAAAGAGAAATGATTTGAAAGACTCTGAATCCTGGAAATCCTCAGAATTTTTACGAACTGTTTCTACCAGTGGACCCACACAATGTTGAGAATATAATAAAGTAAAGAATTGTTCAACCTATCAAAAAAAGAAGTGCTTTAACTTTTCTTTCTTTTTTGCTGGACTGTCTCTTTACCATTTGATCACACAAGCTTTCAAAACACTATAAGCAGTATCTCCACAACTTAAGCCTTGGAGGCCGGCATACATTTGCATGAACTTAAGGATCTGCTTCTCGTACAATCAAAGCCCTACATGCGCCACTTTCCTCCTTTCCTGGGTTTTTTCATTACAATGAGAACATGCTCTACAAAAGCTGTCAGTCCAGGTCCAGCGCTAAATCCAGACGTGGGAGTGCTGTCTGCAGTCGGTCTGCTGTCGTCTGTTTGTCTTTGATTCCCGGCAGATCGCTGAGAAACAGATACTCCAGATTCCTGCATGGAGAAAATCCTCAGAGTTACACAAATGGACAGAAGAAAAGATTTCGAAGGTTACGTCCTGAGACTTACTTGAGTTTGTGAAGCGCAACGACGCCCTTATCGGTCACATTCCCACACAACACCACCTCCATTGTGTATATACTCTCCTGCAGAGTCTCGATGGAGCTCAGCCTCTCCAGGCAGGTGTCTTCTAGGTAGATGCACTTTTTGAACTTTATTTCCTCCACATGTTTCAAACCATCTAGAAAAAAATCACACACAAAAAACGAACATCAGCTTTTTCCAATATGATAAAGTTTAAATTAAAAACACATACGTCTGAAGAGCTGCAGTTAACAAGGTCAGAGATGGGGAACTATCCGTGTCCGTTCTTTGTAAAACATCCTGGTCGCTTGCGTCACTTTTGGATGATCAGACTTGGAGAGATGCACTTTCACCCTTATCTTTCCTTTCTTGTTAACAAAGAGCCGTTATCACTTTCAGGTCAGTGGCCGAAGTCAAGCTCATGTTAACATAGTTGATGCCAAATTTACACTTTCTGAAGATCAGCTTTAATATTTAATTTGAACCGGACTTTGATAGCAGGGTCTCTGCAGGTTTGAAAAAGTTAAATCTAGGACCACGAAGAATTGCATTTAAGTGAAGTCTGATTCTGCTGAATGCTGCATGGAAATGTTGCAGACATAGGATTGGACAAGTCACTAGGACGAGAACATAATATTCTCCACTGACCCAGGTGGTCGAAGCCCCTGTACATGATGCAGGATTCAGTGGCATCAATGGCCTGGATCTTGTATCTGTCCAGAGGTCCGGTTGGAAGTCCGTTGTAGTCGTGATGCCACCGATCGAAACCTTGGAACCTCACTTTGGCTCCACACCTCAGCAGCCACTCTGCTGCAGCTCGGTCCGGACCGATAGATTTGATCCTCTCATAGTCCACCCTGAGAGAAGATCGACAAACATTCAAAGTACAGTAGTACAAGTACACGCTGATGACAGTGCTGGGTCATGTTAGGTTGTTACATGGACGTAAGAAGAGGGTAAATAAATATAAAGTCTAATTGTCAAACTGCCCACCAGGTCATCTGAGCCAAATATACTGAAACTATTTCAACATCTGTTTGTTTTTCTGTGTTTCACAACTTTTCAGAGTTAATTTGAGATCATTTCTGCCTGTTGGTTAAATTAAATGAATAAGACCACAGGAAACGTCAGGGTCTGAAAACGTGTCCAATTAGACCATATAATCATAATATTTATTTGTTTACCACGAAAGACCCCTGTACGTTTGTGTTTTGCAGGTTTGTTTGTAAGCAAAATTATACAAAAACAACCGAGCAGATTTCTTAAAATGTGGCCACATTTAACAGCCAGAGGGAACAGAGCAGTCCGTGTGATATTATCAATCGAGGTAAAATGATTTAATTGTATTTCATCTCGTCATTTAATATTTGCCACAGCTGACCACAGGTACGCAGTCTACTGGGTGCAGAGTCTAATTTATATCTATTCTTTTATATTTCTTTGCTTCTGATCAGCACTTTTATGTTTCTTGTTGCATCACTGTGTAGCTGCCACACGTGTCCAGTTAATCTGCAGGTGAATGTTGTCTCACTTGTTGAAAACTGCATTGAGCCAACCCCAGAAGTGTCTGCGGCTCCGCTCCCTCTGACTCACTGCAGCCTGCACCGCCCTCGATAAGAGCCTCATGTCTCTGAGCTGGAAAACATTCAAATAATGATCATATTAATAATAATGACAACAATAACAATACCTTTATTTATATATAACTAAAATATTTAGAAAATGAACTAATATAAAGGGTAATCAATTCATATAAATAAAGTTGTCTCAGTTCATTTATAGTCTGTATTTATATAGTCTGTATTTAAATAGTATGTAGTTAAACAGTCTGTATTTATATCATCTGTAGTTATATAGTCTGTAGTTAAATAGTCTGTAGTTATATAGTCTGTAGTTATATAGTCTGTAGTTATATGTTCTGTAATTATATAGTATGTACTTAAATAGTCTTTATTTATATCATCTGTAGTTATATAGTCTGTATTTGTACAGTCTGTATGTACACAGTGTGTAGTTATACAGTCTGTAGTTATAGAGTATGTAGTTATACAGTCTTTAGTTATACATTCTGTAGTTATACAGTCTGTAGTTATACAGTCTGTATGTATAGTCTGTAGTTATACAGTCTGTAGTTATACAGTCTGTGTGTGTACAGGGTTCAGTATCTTGCCCAAGGACACTTCGGTAACTCAGACTGGGATCGAACCTCTCCGCCCGCTCGCCACAGCCTCCACATGTGATGTGAGACGCACTCAAACAGCAGACACAGGTTAAAGCCCCTCACCTGTCCTCTAACACGTCGCTCTGTTTACATCTGTGTTTACATCCAGGAAGTCTCCACCGCGGCGACCTTTGACCTCGTGACGCACTCGCCCTCCCGCGGTTCCTATTGGCTGTACGCGCTTACGCGATACGCCGCGGTGGTGGGGGCGCGGTGTGGGCGTGGCCGCGTCGAAGCTCCGCAGCTAACAGCGGCTACGGGAGGAAGAGGAGGAAGTGGAGGAAGTGGAGGCAGGAAGCACGGAGCTGAGGAGGAACCACACGATGAAGAAAAGACCCTGAGGTCTTTTTTTTCTGCTTTTTTTAAAAAAACCACAATGATCCGGATCCTGAGCCGAGCGGCTCCTCGCGCCGCGCTGCACCACGTGCTGAAGGACGCGAGCTGCAGACTGCACAGGTAAGAGGTGACTGACAGGAGAGCGGAGGCTGCTGAGGCTCATGGGAGGAACTCACACCTCATGTCACCGAGGAGATGACAGCGAGCAGACGAGCTGTGCACTTCCTCCAATAACCAACTTCTAACTCTGTCACTTCCTAAACTATCCAGAGGAAGGTCACGTAACTTTTCTGCTGTGTGTAAGTGTGTGTGTGTGTGCGCGCGCGCGCCAACTCATGAGATCTCATGCACTGTACTTCATGTTTACTTCATGCCTGCAACATGTGTTTCACATTAGACCTGCAGGATCTTTTGGCCCGTGCAGTTTATGTAATGGGGCCCTTCCCCCCCCTCCTCCTTCAAGCAAGCATGAAGTGAAATATAGATGTTCACGTTTTTACGGGCATAACTTTTACGCAATCTTGTCTACTTTGGTAAACAACACCAGAAAAACCAGCTTCACCACAGATTGGTTTTCAAAAATGTCTGATACAAAAGTTCCTGTTTAATTGCAAACAAAGGACTTAAAGTCCACGAAGTTCGATTCAGTTTCATCTGTGACGCACCAATTCACAGCATACTTTATCTCAATCTTTCTGCTTCTCAAAGCCTGGCTCCTATTTTCCAAAAATGACAACAAGATGTTGGCTGTTCCCCCAGCCTCCCACGCCTCCATGAGTGATTTAAAGCACTCTTCCTGTGTTGGACATTGTGTTCCTCCAGCTCTTTGCAAATATTTTGTGAAATCCCGCGTTGGATAAACTGGAACTGCTGCTGACACTTTAAAGTCCTCCCAGTGGATTGTAGTCTACTGTGGAAATTAGATTTACAGATGGGATTTACTCTTCAGAGAAACTTGTGACAGACCTGGATGTTTTCTAAAATCTGTTTTAACAACAACAACAACACTAGTTTCCACCAGTCATCAGATTCAAAGGTTGATTGTTTCCTCATTCAGTCCTGTACAGTTGGACATTTGACCACTGAACTACATCCTGCACATTTCACTGCCTGTCGAGTAGGTTGTCTATCAGAAGCCATCATAAATCTGAACTGCCTGTGACCTCGTGTGTGTCCGTCTGTCTTTCAGCACATATGATGTGGCTGTGGTGGGGGGAGGCATCGTGGGTTTGGCCACAGTCAGAGAGCTCATTGAGCGACACCCGTCCCTCAGCTTCATCCTGGTGGAGAAAGAGAAGGAGCTCGGTGGGTGGAGGTTTGACAGTTGCTGTTATGGTGAAGGAAGTGTGGTCCAGGATTTTTTTTTTGGAACACGACATGTTCCATGAAATACTTTCAAAAGTGAAAGTCAGACATTTAACGTTATTTAAATGAATACGATTCTGAAAAAGCATTTACAAATATAAATAAAATACATAATTAAACACAATACTAGTCTCATTTATGAACACAACATGGATTTGAAATTTGCTTTCAAGCCTTTGAAACAATAACCCTGAATAGTGTCACCTTCATGTAGCTCCATATTTACTGTATAAACAAGATGTGACTCTGCAAGAAAGCAAATGAGTGTGTGAAAATCAAGAATCTAAAAATGACCTATTTGTTTTTCTGTCATTCTGCTGGTGTCACTAAAACCGGCTTTTTCTTTCTCCTCTTTAATTCTTCTGTTCTTCTGCCCTTTCTCTTTTTTCTCACCAGCCGTGCACCAGAGTGGACACAACAGTGGAGTCATTCACAGCGGGATCTACTACACGCCGGGGTCTCTGAAGGCCCGTCTGTGTGTGCGAGGAGCCACTTTAGCCTACGAGTACTGCGACAAGAAAGGACTCCCTTACAAGAGATGTGGAAAGGTCTGAACCGGTGCTCAAAACCAGCTCAGAGATAGTTCAGCAAGTTTACTTCGGATAAATCAGTTAACTTGCTTCTCTGTTTGGAAAAATAAGACACGTCCGTACATTACGTTAACACATTCACGTACGTCATTCTCATGGCTAAACAAAAAGTATTCACAGAATCAGAATTTTGCACCTTCAGATTCAGCACAAAATAACTTTAAAATTGTTGTCAATGTGTGATGAATTCCATTTTATATATTAATATAATGTTTGTTTGTTTTTTGGCCTTTTTTTAATTTGACAGTTTAGAGAAAGGTAGGACATGAAACTATGTCCCCAGCTGCTCGATGAACAATGGCTGTTGCTGTTTTATGATGTGCACTTTAACCATTTGGCATCGAGACGCCAATTGATTGTTAAGTTTTAACAGATACTGAAAATTGCTTTCATTAAGTATCCAGTAATGATCACGTAGCATGAGTTTGAATTGTGTCACACTGGAGAAGAAAAGGAAAATTACCCAACTCTTGTTTCATAGAATTGGGCATTTTGTTTTCCATAGGAGTTTCAGAGACACTCATTATTTCCGGTTGTTCGTCCGTCCCTTCCTTGTGTCAAAGGTCAATGTCACTGAGATCTTGTGAATGCAAAAGGTCAGTAACACCCTGAGGGAGGTTCTTCACATTTGGTTCAAATGTTGACTTGGAGTCACAGACGAACTGTTTTGTTGTCAGTGGTCAAAGGTCACAGTGACTTCAAATGAATCCGGAAATAAAAGTATTTGGAATGAATACTTTCCCACTGAAAGCAGCCTCATGAGAGCGTTGACTAAATAAAGTACAATCTGAATTATAATTCAAACAAAGGATTATTAAAGAGGACTAAAATCAACTAAGAATTTCTCCTCAGTCTGTTGTCTATCGAGTATTGATCCCTGTTTTTCTCCTTCGGCAGCTCATTGTGGCTGTGGAGCAGGAGGAGATACCCAGACTGAAAGCTCTGTATGAGCGTGGGATGAAGAACAATGTGCGGGACCTCAGCATCATCGACGGCAAGGCCATCCGAGAGCGAGAGCCCTACTGCAGAGTAAGACACTTCAATGTTTTCATTCACACCAGAGAAAAGACATCAGCTCAGGCTCACTGCGTGTCGTCTGTTCAGGGTATCATGGCCTTGGATTCACCGTACACCGGCATCGTGGACTGGAGAATGGTGGCTCTCCAGTACGGCAAAGACTTTGAGGAGGCAGGTGGCACGGTGGTGACTGATTATGAGGTCAAAGACATTTCCATGGTCAAGGAGAGCTCAGCTGGAAGTACTGAAGGTAAAGACAGGTCCCATAGACTCATGTCTCAACTGTCAACATAATTACAAGAGACACATTCTGCTCATATTGAGGTAATAAGTTTAATTTGGGTTATTACTTGAAAAGGTTTACGTGTTTTATTTTATTCCATTCGCAGGAATGAAATATCCGATTGCGATCAGAGACAAGAAGGTGAGACTCCTGCAGATTAAACCATCATAGTGTTTAGACTCTGTCCTGGTCTTTGCATCCTTTGCACTGTTCTGTTTTGTCAGGGTAACGAGGTGCGGTGTCGTTATGTCCTGACCTGTGGAGGTCTGTACTCAGACCGCCTGTCGCAGATATCTGGGTGCAGTCGGGAGCCGCGGATCGTCCCCTTCAGAGGAGACTATTTGGTCCTGAAACCAGAGAAACACTACTTGGTCAAAGGAAATATCTACCCCGTAAGTCTGCTGAAGATCCGTCTGTCCACCAGTTCAAACCCTTTCTGTCGTGTAACCCATATAGATCATTAGATCTACAGATGTTACTCATGCACTGCCTGGTGCTGTTTATGTGTCAGGATCTGTCAGACTCTGGCGGCCCTATGTGGCAGAAAGAGATATCTTTTTTTAACTCTTTATAGGAACTCTCATAGTCACATAATATGAGATCAGTAAGCAGCAACCCTACAGTGTTTTATTAATATATAGAGAGTTGCAATGGTGTTTATTTGTTCTTCAACAGTGTGGACTTCCTCATACGTTTCTCTCATCTGATTGGGACAGCTAAAATAACTTGAATCTAAATATGTTCAGCTGCATTTCACCACACAAACTCAGCTCCAATATTTTTGAAAGAAATTTGGAAAAGCTTTAAAATTTCGGATAATTCTATTTTTAAGCATTAAATTGTTCGTAAACTGTAATAAAATCTCCGTAACATGTTTTAATAAAAAAGACAATTAAGGGGAAAAAAAGAGCATAAATTCCTTTAATTTAGGATGTTTAATTGAAAGCTTGAAACCATGGGAGCTGTTTTACTCTTACATGATTAATACATGTGTTCAAAACATTCTGTTATATTAAATAATAACTGAAAACATTTTGTGCTTAACTGTTGCTAATATTTTCGTACAGGTTCCTGATCCCCAGTTCCCCTTCCTTGGAGTTCACTTCACCCCACGGATGGACGGAAGCGTTTGGCTCGGGCCCAACGCGGTGCTTGCCTTCAAGAGGGAGGGTTACAAAGTGTACGACTTCAATCCCAAAGACTTTGTAGATGCACTCTCATTCAGGTACGACATCAAAATATATCTGCTCTTACTGTCGTCTTTGTGTTATGGCTTGGTACTTCATTTTGAAAAGTATTTTGTTTCTGAACTCTGCAGTTTAACCCACAAATTACACAGTAACACAACAGAGACTTTATATTATGATGTGATTCACACTGAATATTAAATCATTTTCTTTTCATGCTGCAGGGGCCTTCAGAAGCTCGTGCTGAAGAACATACCGTATGGGATTGGAGAAATGTACAGAGGCATTTTCATCGGTGCGCAGGTTAAAATCCTGCAGAAGTACATTCCTGAACTCTCACGGAGTGATGTTCTCAGGTATAGCGATGATACAAGAAGTAAAAATAAATGAAATACAGCATCTCTTCTAAAAGTAAAATATCACACTTGTACCATCCAATAGAACTGACTAGATTTTAAAGGTCAAGGTCAGGTTGACCTCATGAGACATGAGACAACGTCTAATTGGGTAAAATGAAGTGATAACAAATTTATATCTAAAAGGTCAAAGATCAACATTTTGATGTGCAAAAATATTATTTTCTGGCCTTTATTCAACACCATAACCTAAAAGCATTAATTCCACCATCTTTCACATTTAATTAAAGGTACAGTGTGTAGAATTTAGTGACATCTAGTGGTGAAGTTGCATGTTGCAGCTTAACACCCCTCACCTCACCCTCTCCTTCCAAACATGAAAAAGAACCTGTGGTAGCTTTAATTGTCATAAAAACGCAAAAGGTGTTTAGTTTGTTCAGTCTGGACTAATGTAAAAAACATAGCGGCCTCAGTAGAGAGGGTCCCCTCGATGTAAATATAAAGTATCTGAACATAAAGAGTATTTTCTAGGGTAAAGAAAACTACAATTCATACAATTTAGATTAAATGAACTTGTGAAAACATAATGAGAATTATTCTACATTAAATTTCTGCCAATAGTTCCCTTTCACCTAAATCTTACACACTGGACCTTTAAATAGTGAATAGCTGACATTAGTCTCTTGTGCCCACCATGAAACTGTGACATCTGCATTGATGTTGTGCTGCTGAGTTGAAGAAACATGCAAAGCTTCCATCTTTTAGAGTTCACAGCTTCTTTGCAGCAACATCCGTATTTGAAGAACTGTCGACTCTCACACGGTCACAACCTCAGTCACAACCGGATTCATCGGCGCAGCGTCTGAACACATTAAAAACACTGACGCAGTTTTTCTGCTTGTCTCATTGACCTTGCTCACTAGTACAGTAGAGATACAGCAAGAACAACAAAGCTTAACAAAGTCAGGTGATTGTTGTTGCACCATGTGACGGCGCTCTCTATCAGTCCTCTGTACTCCACTGTAAAAATAGTCTCTAAGTGAAGACGGCATGTTTCTCACTGGAAATGATTCACTGGCATAGAACATGTCAATATCCTGATAACTTTCACCAGAACATACACTCAATGTATTTTATTAAATACCCTCACACTCTTAAATACAGATAATATGTGAGTGGTTGTAAATTTGAGGTAGTAAATGTAGTTTTTATAGTAACTGAAGTATATTACACTATTTAGGTATCAACAGATTTTCTGGTTTATAGAAATACTTAGTGAAAAGTAAAATCCTGGATCCGTACCCTGATCCAGAACCACACCAGATTTTAATGGGTTCTTCCATGGAAATTGGTTGATTAGTTTTTGCATAATCCTGCTAAATAAATATCAAACAGATGCAAACATAACTCTGGTTGTCTCCCTCTCCAGGGGCCCCTCAGGAGTCCGAGCTCAAGCCCTTGACCGGGCCGGCAACCTTGTGGACGACTTCGTGTTTGATGGCGGCGTTGGGGACGTGGGCAGCCGGGTGCTCCACGTGCGTAACGCTCCCTCTCCAGCGGCCACCTCCTCCCTCGCCATCGCTGAGATGGTCGCAGACGAGGTGGACAGCCGCTTCTCGCTGTAGAGAAGTTTGGTGATCGCTAGAAGGACAACAGCAAAACCAAAAACTGCAGCGTGAAACTGACATGTTTAACTGTCACTACATCAGCAGCAATGTGATGTTTTTATAACAAGTTAAGCCTTAATTAAGGGTCATGTGACATGAGATATCTGTGACTTAATTATATTTTCTGACTGTTTTTACTTAAACTTCCTCAGGTTGTATAATATGTCTATTCCACCACGTTTTAAAGTAAATGTCCATTTTTCTCAACTACCTTTCTGCCAGAGTGACTGTAAGTGAAAGTGAAAGGTTTTTAAGCTCTAATGAATGGATCATCAGTTTGGAACTTTAGAATAGGAATAATTTAACCACACAAACATGTTTAAATCAATGTGAACATAACTTTTTGGGGAAAATTACCACTTTCTTGTCTGGTTGTGTTTCTCAGCTTCTCAGTCTATGAAAACAGTTTATTTCTGTCGTTTGAGTATTGCACACCCTACAGTTAAATGAGCTTCTCTCCTAATTGCTATAAATCAATTCTGATACAGTTTTAGGCAAAGAAAATGAATTATACTGCAAACAAAAATATTTAAAACAATTTTTTAACCATCCCTTATGAGATATTACATATATTTCTAACTCATTTTGGAATGAAACGCACAGTTTATATAGAAAGACTGTAAAAAATGTTTTACCTTATTTCGCATGATTGTCAGAGTATTTTTTTTTTTTTTACCAAATGTGTGTATTTTTGTAAAGCAAATGCACAAATGTTTGAGATTCAAGCCATGAAATGTTGAAATACCATCTTGTTATATTATTATTGTATATTGATCTAAGTCACTTCTTTTATTATCAGAAACGACACAGAGATGTTATGTGCGTATTCCCACGCAAACAACGAAAGGAAAATAGCAGTGAAGTTGTTTTTTGTTCTCCAGATGTGACCTGTTTGGTTTCAGCAGCTGTTCACTTCAGGCACTTGTACAGTTTGACCACGCGGAGGCAGAATCGAACAGAAACATCACGAACGAGCTCAAAATGTGTATAAACTACACGTTGCTGCCTAAACCACCTATTGTGTTTGATCACTGCCACACAATAAAGTGTCTGTCCTTCGCTTTAACGCGTCTGTCGCATTGAATGTGTGTGTGTGTGTCTCGTGTGTTTTTGTAAACTCTCCTCAGCTGCACCAGGAGAGAGGACGAGTGCAAATCTGAGTTTGTTTGTGTTTCTTTCTGCAGACATCAGTAACGATGGCACAGAAAGTCCAGCCTTGTTTTTTTTTTTTTTTTGGTGTCGACCAATAAAATGTGGAATTACGCAGCGTGCGTGCCTGACAGCGGCAGACACACACACATACACACACACAGGGACAGACAGACAGACAGGCGGCGGAGGAGAGTTGCTGCGAACATCTTCCACTTCACGCACCGACCAACACCGAGAACTGCTCCGCTCGCAGATGCGTCCCGGACCGGCCGCCGTCTCCTCCGGCGGGGATTCAGCGCTCGATCGCCGCCCTGGAGAAGATGTCTGAACGCTGGGCGGCCAGCGCAGGAGACCGTGTGCCTTGTGTGGAGCCGAAGGGTCCGTGTGCCACAACATAAAACTCGGGAGCGCAGCGAGGCCAGCGGCGGCGGCGGCAGCCTGTGCGAGCACCAGCTAGCTGCGCGGCTACGACGCTAGCCCCGCTAACGTTACAGGTGTTCGGGGAAAGGAAAAACAACCAAGCGCGACTTGTAGCTGCGGCCGACCGGCGGGAAGCTGCTCCCCGGCGTCGTGTCGTGAAAGTGAACTTAATGTGCCTGTTGGTAATTTTCTAAACAAGCAGCAAGAACAACACTTAGCAGCGTTGTTGTTAGCTGTTAGCTTCTGAGTTAGTCCCGTGTTTACAGCAGCAGCAGCAGGCTAGCGAGCTAGCAGCCGAGCTAGCGAGTTAACTTTATAGCTACATGTGCTTGTTTTCTTTTGCAGCTTATGTTTCGCTGCTTTTTCCGACTCGACCCCGGACTCGCAGCCTAGCGTAGCGACACTCTTAGTCGGTTTGGCTCTTTCTGTCCCGCCGTGCCTGCCCCCCCGGACTGACCCACCCACCAGGACTATCTACCCGGGGCCGATGCTGACAGTTCAGCCCGGATCACGGCCACGCCAGGAGCCGCTACAGCGATGCAGCCCCAGCAGATCTACGACTTTTCGAGTGACGAGAACAGTCACAAATGGAGAGGCCTCTTCGTGCCAGCTTTAAGAAAGGTAAACGCTGCTCTCTGCTTGAAACAAACCCAAAGTTGTTTTTTTTTAACCATCTCCCCGGACTCTTGCAAAACACATTCACACGCTGCAGGATTTCATTTGAGCACCAGTCTCATCTGCATCTCACAAATACAGTCACTAGTTATTCCCTAACTTCACTTATCCGTGTTGTTATTATGAGCAAAGCCTGCAGATTTCCTCATGAAACCAAAAGCAAAAAAAAAAAAATCCAATTAATTGAAAGTAGTTGATGTTTTATGGGTCACTGATCATCACTCCAGTTGACAATGCTGTCCCCGTCTTCTGTGACAGTGGACCTGCATGTAGTGTGTTTATTCACCAAGTCCTCTCACTAAATCAAAGAACACCCTTTTTCTCATAGTTTGTTTCAAGAAGTCGATCAGTTTTAATCAGCTTCTACGGCACCAGGATCCATCGCTGTCATGTTTCATAGTTTTGAGGGTAAATAGAAACACACTGATAACTTGCACGGTGTTGATGTTAAACAAGTTAAGTACTAATTTGGTTTTCACCCTGGTAGCAGAAAGGCACTTCAAAACATAATTTGTGTGGTAATGCTGCCAACCTCATTATGTCTTCCTCATTTGGTATAACAGTAAATATGCCTCATCCCTGCAGATACCAAGGCCTCCAGCCGCTGCTTACATGTCAGGTTTCCCTCCTTTTTCTCAAGAAACACAACATCATTCTCACGAGTCCCATTAAAACTTTAATGACGGGATTTTAATGTCCTTGGTCAGCAGGATTGACCTGTATCAGTTCCTTTTTGACTCTCCCTCGTCTTGCATCATCGTGGCTTCTCCCCGATCGTCGTCAACGGCTTTATTTTCTGTTCTCTGTGTTGCTGTGCAAAGTGAAAATGTTTAGTTTTTTTTGCAGAGGTTTCATGCTGGTTGGGATCCTGTGCTTTGAGCAGCCATAATGATGCTATGATACATGAGGATGGCACAGCATGCACATGGTTCAGACTAGACTTACTGATGGTTTTTCCCCATCAATGTTCGTTCCAGCTAATAACTCAATAACAACTTGAAATAACAATTCACTTGTTTTCTGCTGTAGACAAATGTTTTAAGTAGGGCCAAAGCTTTCATCATCGAGTAATAGGACAATCATTCTCTTGATTTTTTGATAAATCTATAATGTTTCAGATCATAATTAAGAATAACTTTCTCTGAAAGCCTATGGTGATATAATAATGTTTTTCTTTGCTCACAGCACTGACTAAGTTTACATCACACAAGGCAAATAGAAAAAAAAACAAGTCCTCACAACTGAGAAGCCTGAGCTGGGGAATGTTTGGCATTTTACTTTAACATTTAATCAATTATCCAAATAGTTGTTTACCTCTTTTATTCTGTCCAAGCTCATATAACAACCAGAGTCTGGAATACTTGTGTAATGAAGGCAGTACAGTAGGAACCTCACAGTCTGAGGTCTTTGAGGGGTCTGAATATATTTGTGTTTTTAGAGATGAAAGTCCTCCAGACCAAACTTATTTTCACAGCAAGAAACATGCATATCTGTCCCTCATGACAGACTCCTCACTTACTTTTTGTGCTGTGTTTTGATAAAGTTTCTTAACAATTAGTCTATCCTCTACTTTTTTGCAGCCAGATCAGTTATTAACTCACTAAATCTGTCCTTTCTTTTCATTTGCAGTGGTTTTAAGATTTAACATTAAAACCACCACTTGGGGAAATAATTTTTATTTGGCTATGAATTATTCAGATTTTATCCAAATAGTTTGGCTCTCCAGGCCCTGTTTATAAATAACACTGCTGTCATTTGCGACAGTTGTCAGTAGCGCGGTAGAGAGGGTGCGATGAATCAGGTGAAACTGAGCGAGCAGGTGGTGGGCCGTGGTACCGCGGTTTCATTGTCTCAACTTGTTACACAACTGCCCGAGGGAAAGCCTGTCAGAGATTGACGCAAGAGAGGTTTGTTATGGTTTTGACAGACTGTGACTCGCTGTTTTTCACAGCTGTCCACTGGAGGGTTCCTTGTCAGAAGGAGCTGCGGTGGATGACTCCACCTCTGAGAGTGATTGAGATTGTTGTGAGGAGGATTAAAGGAGACCTGTTGATGAGTAAACACACCTCAGAGGTTGGAGCGGAGAAGTACGTTTATGATCAAACAGCTGAGAGAGTTGGAAAAAAATGTCACCTTCAGCTGCTGGTTGATCACCGGCACAAAGGCCTCACGAGTAAGACGGATAAGACTCAGGAGTTACAGCCAATATTTACTGACCTTTCACAAACTAATTGCCAGCTATTAAGCGGTGTAGCTTTTATGTTATTTATTAAGCGTATTATATTCCCAATATTTGTGTTTCAGCTGAACCTTCTTTGTTTTATAATATCTTCAATTGAATATTTTTTCTTAGCCTGACAGAACATGTGATTTGTATATGTGAGAAATGCAAACCTATCTGCAAACATAGCATAGTGAGGTACTGTGAAGCACCTGATACAAGAAAATGTCCTGGGTATCTGCTGAAACTGGGACCCTTCTTGCATCCCCCTACATCACCTCCTGTCATCTCCCCAGTGTTGCTGTCTAATGAAGACATTAAAAGTGGTTTTTAATGTGAGCATGTTGTAGAAGAAACCTCAACTAACCCTTAGTGGAACTACCCTGTAATGTCAATAGTTGAAAGGTCAACTTTGATGCCAGAGTTAAAGGCATGAAGCTCAACTTTCCAGTCATGTGTAGTTGAAGCACGTGTAGCCGTCTGAGTTTCTGTCTGTGTCGTCTGTCTAGCGTTTGTCTGCGTGTCCTGGCTATTCTAGATCTCTGCTGCTCGTGCCCGGTGCTATACAAGAGCGTCATTTCTCCTCTGACACGCCGGTGTTAATAATAACTGTGCATTCCCCAGGTCTGCCGTTACACTGGCAGCGATAGAAAGACCAGAGCTTTGCTGGTTACAGTTTCATTCCATTGCCATGTTGAGTTCACAGGGCTGCTGTGCTCCGTGAGACGCAGGCTCACAGACTTTTAAAGCTGAGATTGGTCAGGTTACAAATGTGCGTTCTGTGTGTGTGTGTGAGAGGTTGAGAGTGTGTTGCCTCTTTTATCCTCCAAACCTGAGTTAAATTCCGACAGGATGACTTCACCACAGGGCAAAACTCAAAGCACAGTTTTTATTTTTAATTTTAGTCAGATGCATTTGCTGCCACATTTATCCCGGCTAGACGGAGATGTTATCACTTCAGAATCGGACACTGATTTATTATAAGATTCCTCTCCAGTGCCTTACTGTATGAGCTCCAGTCCAACTATGTTAACATATACAACTGTGCCTAGTATTTATCTGTCTCATCTTCTCTTGTACCATACAGCCGGGAGTCTGCAGAGTTCACCGAGTTTATGACTCTCACTCTAACACCAAGCCCAGTCTTGTTGTGTATATATATGAAACAAACTTTAGTTGTATAGTGTACGAGCACGCGGACACATATACCAGCTGGAATCATTCGGTTTGGGAGCTGACACAGAAATATCCACATCTGAATTATCATGCCATCTCTCTGGAGTTTCTCTATGAATAGTTCAGTGTTCAGGAAGCATATCTAAAAATGACAAAAATCCACTAATATTGTATAATTCAGTCACAAGTTTCGACAGTCAAAAAAAGAATGCAACTCCCAGGAGGCAGAACTCCCATCCCCTCCCCCCCAAATAAAAATAAATTGGGAAGAGGCCGGAAAAGCTGATTCCAGTATGATCTGCTGTCTCTTCCAATAATGCTGACATCAGCGCAAACCGGTTTTACAAAGTTCATACAAGTTTATTTTGGTGTCAGTGTATTTTTAGTTTTCTTTTCTTTCACATCTTGGAGCTGAATAAAGT